CCTGGCCCAGCTCGGCTGCACCCCCACCGTTCCAGCGGTTTTCATAGGCGGTCAGCTCGTCGGCGGAGCCAATCAAGTCATGAGCCTTCACCTTAACCGCTCTCTCATCCCCATGCTTAAGCGTGTTGGTGCGTTATGGGTTTGATCCATTAAATCATATAACAAAAACATACGTACACTTAGTTTGATGTGTTGTAATAAAAACAAGAGTAAGGAATAAATATGCATACATACATATATACATAGATATATAAGTATTCGTATGTATGCGTATCTAAGTTTTGAGGGATATCTCACGAGGTTACCTCTTTTTGTAACCTTTGGGTTATCTCATCTTATGTAATAAAATCAAAATCAATGTTGCTTAAGATTTTAAGCTTATGTTACTTGGTTATCCATTTGCACCGCAATATTATCAACGAAAAATTATAAATAGTAACTATAAAAGAGAAACTAAACGTTTAAAATAATTTGGACATATAAAACGTATAACGAACAAGTCATTAACAACGACCAACCAATATCGATTTATGTACCATAAGTATCTTACCATAAACGTTGATGGTCTTTAATGTGTAAATTGTTCCGGTTTGAAGATATTTCCGTGCATTTTTAGATGTTATACGTTTTATTTCAAATCATGCGTTATATTGTTGTTAACAAAAAGATTAATATTGTCGTACGAGTATTTACATATTTGGGCTTATTCGTTGTCAATATTGGGCCTATTAATTATTATGGGTCATTGTTAGTTCAGCCCATCGTGCGACGCCGAAGCGTTGAACTTGAACGTAAACCCACGCGCACACGGCGCGTCAAACAAACGCGCGTTGCAATTTGTCGAATTAGAAGAAGCACTTCATAATAATTGATCAATTTTAGGATTTCTTTTAGCATTATTGACTTTTTAGATTTTATTTTTTATTTTTATTTTTAAGTTTTCGCGGTTATACTTATATCCCCAAAATTCTTCTTCTTCTGCTTCGTCTTCATCTCCATCTTCCCCTTCTTATTCAAATCCATCACTGGATCAACGGCTCTGGTCTCTCGATTCGATCTCTCTCCCGCTTCTTCTCCTTCTCCTTCTCTTGTATTCCATCAATGGCTTCCGAGTAATTCCGAATTCTGGTAGGTAAGCCCTTGGAATCTTCATCTTCCTTCTCTCTTTCCTCGCATAGACGCACTCGATGTCTGATTCTCTTTCTTCTAATAGATTTCGAAAATCATTGAGCTCTCTTCACAATTCGAGCGTTTTCCGTTAAACTCCGGGGATAAATCATGGAATTGGATGTGAAAGCAGGCGAAATCAGTTTCAAATTTGTTCTATTGTTTTCTTCGTTATAGGGAACCTTAGCTCTGAATTTGTGCTTAGAATTAAATTCCAAGCTTAACTTGGTGGATATTTGATTATGTGATTCGAAGTCGCTCGAATTTCAGTCCAGCTATGTGGAGTTGTGAATGGACTTTAATGCCTTATTCCGCAAATATGGGTCGTCAACTTTCCTTATGTTGTCTGTGCGTCTCATAATCCGTCGATTCAAAGTAGAAAAGGCCAACAAGATTCTTTGTCGGCATTTTTTTGCATTTGTCGAATCCATCGGCTGTATGCATGACGATTTCAGTCTCATGAGTGTAACCCGATGATGGTTTTTTAGAGATAATGACACAGAATATTTATTGGGTAATGGGTTCAACGATTGTTCGTTAGAAATGTGTTTGCATTTTGGCTGTGGGAAGTAATTTTCTGAATCTTGTTTTGGATTTTGGGAATGTTTCAGATAACAGAAGAAGATCTAATGGCTCCTTCAAAGAAGTCTAAATATAAGAAGGCTTCTCGTGTTAATGTTGTCTCCCCTAACAAAGATGAAGAAAATAAGAGCAAAACCAGACAACGGGTAAGAGTCGTCTTTCCTCATACTTAGTTGGATGACCTAAGCTTTCTTATTTAGGTAAGAATATTCGTCTTGATTTTGAGGAACCTTGTTCTGCTCAATATTTGACTATGTCCTGAAATTTCACATGGCAAGGCTGGAGATTTGATAGCAAAATAGTGATATTCAGGTTTAGGTGTTAGTTCATTTCATGTGTCACATTGGTGAGGTTCCTAATATCTTGTATGAGCAAAAATATTTATCTGGTAAAGATGTAGTTTGTGCCATTCTAAGATTGGAAATGATGGTCGGCACGACCTGGCTTCGTGAGATAAAAAAAAATTGGGTTTGCAAATTCCTCCGGTCAACCAGTGTTAGTGGCACTTAACTTGGGATGCGCACTAATCAGTCACAACACTGGGTTAAATTTCATTTCTCCAAATATGGAGCACGATAAATAGTTCTCTTCGATTCATTGTTTTATACCAGAGAAATGTTTGTAGATTCTGGAAATAATTAAATTTCTTTCTTTACCTGTCTTTTGCAAATGTTGATTTTAGTACACTTCGATATTGATCTGCATTTGAAGAGGCATCACATTTTTCAAGTTATGACGAGGAAGTATCCTCAACATTTTCCTGTTGGCGCCGTTTATTTAATTAGATGATGTACTGAATCGCATTGCTTCAAGAAGAATGCACCTCGCCTTCTTCATGATCATATGAGTTTGATGTATTAGCATATCTTATACTGCCACTCTTTTTACATGCAGAAGAGAAAATTGTCGGATATGTTAGGTCCTCAATGGAGCAAGGAAGAGTTGGAACGCTTTTACGATGCATACCGGAAATTTGGTAAAGAATGGAAGAAGGTTGGTTCTAATATCTATTGTTCCCTTTCTCTCTCTGCTTGTGTGTGTGCGGGTTAGTGAAAAAAGTGAAACATAGATCATTCAGAATTTGGAGTATCATTTACAAAAGAAGTATAATTAGTCTAAAGAACGAATCACTGCCTAGTCTACCTTATATGTTATGTGGGTAGTTATGTTTTTGTTATGATTGTTATAATTGCATAATCTGTATTTGGTCATTTCTCTTCTATGGTGTATAGGTTGCGGCATTTGTTCGAACCCGCTCTATAGAAATGGTGGAGGCTTTATACACTATGAACAAGGTTAGCTTTCTTCCCTTCTTATTGAATGAGGTCTGGTTTTCTATATAAACAACAAAACATTTTCTCGTCTTATATTAAGCTACCTACACTTTTAGGCCTATTTATCTCTTCCAGAAGGCACTGCTTCGGTGGTTGGCCTAATTGCGATGATGACAGATCATTACACTGTATTGGTAAGATTTATAAAGCAATTCAGTAGTTAGTGATTTTTGTATTCTTCTTATGGTCAAACTTACAAGCGTATATGTAAATCCGAGATAATAGAATTCAATTTGTTTCCATAAAATATTTGTTTGTCTTATATACATTCTTGTTGTTTATTCATTGTGAAAGACTAATGATGAGAACTACGCAAACCAATCTAACTCTTGTGTAGCATGGAGGAAGTGACAGTGAGCAGGAAAGCAACGAAGGCACCAACACACCTAGGAAAGGCCAGAAGCTTGCTAGAGTGAAATCCTCAGATCATCTATCCAAAGGTCTAGAGGGTCTCTCTGACCGCTTGCAATTCAGATCTTCCTCAGGCTCCTTGTCATTGTTGAAGAGGAGACGTACTGGTAGTATTCTCTCTCTCTCTATCGCAATACGTATATATGTATATATATGCCTCACTGATGCACATGCATGAGTTTGCATATGTGTGTGTACATTTTTATGGATGAATGAATCTGCAAGGTGCACACATTTCTCGTCAGGTATTGTGGCAATCATTCCCATATCATACCTTTCAATTATTGGCAGAATTAGCTTTGGTAGAATTGTTTTTCTAGCGTAAATGCATAACACTTGTGCCTGAGAGCTTGAACTCAAGTATGTTGCTTTGGTAAATGTATGAAGTACCTCAGGGAGAATTTGTCTTCTCTGTATAGCTTCTCAGTCTTCTCTTATTCATAAGCTACTTCTCTCTTATTTATGTAGGGGTTTTGTGCTAATCTTGTGACTAAGAGTTATTCATTGCTAACCGATTTTCAATTTTCATATCTTCTGGTGTTAAGAGACTGTGCCCCGTGCTGTTGGGAAAAGGACTCCTCGAATTCCTGTTTCATTTTCCCGTGAGAAGGATAAAAGGGAAAGATATTTATCACCTGTAAAGAGAGGTCTAAAGCTGAAGGGAGATGCTATTGATGATGACATGGAACATGAGATAGCACTAGCACTGGCAGAAGCTCTGCAACGAGGTGGTTCTCCCCAGGTTTCCCGAACACCAAACAGAAAAGAAAAGATGTACTCCCCGTATAAGAAGGATGAAAAAATGGTATACTTTTTGTTTGCAACTATGTTTACTCTGCACTTTCCGCGTGGAGTTTATGTTCTCTGTTTTTTGCATTACAGTGAACTTTTAAATATAGTTTTTAAGATCTTGCATGCACTACTTTGACTACTTTGAATTTCTTTTTTTGGGATTAAATACTTCTGAATTCTGATTGTAATTGTAAACGATAAATCCATCCTTTTTGCATATTCAATTTGATAGAGGAGAGGCATGTGTGCTTAATTTGGATGTAACTCATATACACATATGAACTGATAGATTTTGAAATTCAGCGTGCAGAAATCGACATGGCGATTGCCAAGCTTCATTCATCTGACATGGATGAGGGTGGCTGTGAACTAAGCTTAGGAAGCACTGAAGCTGATAATGGCGATTTTGCTGGCCCAAGAAATTACTTGATGCACGGAGAAGGTTCTAGTGCTGTGGAAATGCTACAGAAGGGAAAAAGATACTACATGCAAAAACTAGATGTTGACGAGAGTCCTAACAATCGGACAGATGATGTAAAAGAAGCCTGCAGTGGGACAGAGGAAGGGCAACACTTAGGTCCTTGCAAGGATAAATTTGAACCAGAGGGGGTGGTTGAGAATTCTTCAAAACCCACTTATAAGAGTTCAAGGAGGAAAAGTAAAAAAGTTCTCTTTACAGCAGGTCTGCTCTAGTTTTTTCCCCTTCTTAGTTTGTGTTTAACTATCTAAAATACTCATTGAATGAGGAAAAAAGGAGTAATAGAAACATCAATTCTTCTTCTCTCTAAGCACCCACCTCACTGCAGCTAAAGAAGTAAATGCATGCTAAATTCCAACATATGCAATAGACGTCCAGGTATCCTATTTAGAAACAGGGGGTTTGACCAATTATGTTTTTATCACATTTAAGTATCTAGAAAAAGCCATGAATTGAGTTTTTTTTTCTTTTTTTTTTTTTCTGAATGTTGTGATTGTAAATTGTAATTTCATCATGAGGTTACATGGGCATTCTTCATTATGCATATTGCTACACAGTGAAAACTTCAACAATGCTCTTGTGCTTGTTTGTGATTTGATTGTTATATTTAAATGTACTTGCAGTGATTATTAATTGTGCTCTTTGCTCGTCTGGATGGTATTGTTGCCAAGGCAATCCTTTCTTGGTTTCATATGATGACCATCTTTACTGCAGATGAAGGCGCTGCATGTGATGCTCTCCAGACACTAGCAGATTTGTCGTTGATGATGCCTGACACTGCCACAGATACTGGTAAGCTATATGTTTGACCTGATGTTGTCCTTTAGTTGATTGTCTAAATCCTGTCAAAGGTGTACTTTGATGAGCGGTTGTAGTTTATCGTTCTTTCACGGATCAAACTTGGAGCATGAAAGGATATACATGCTGTCTTTTTTTCCGAGAGTTAATAATGGGCCATCTACCAAAAGCATCTAAATTTAGAGGTAGAGTTAAAACTAGTCAACACGAAGCTATACATCCTTGTCTAAGTTACCACCTATTTTCTGCTACTTGAAGCTCCCCTTTGGTTCTTCCTTCAAAGTAGCCAAACGTCTCCAAAAGGAATAAAAGCAGTAATATTTTGAACTTCTTGATCTGATAAGACCTGACCAAACCCACAGATTACATTCAAACTACTATCACTCCAATGCTTATTCTTTACTTTACCATTAATTATCAGCTGAATTAGTTGTCTCGAGCAGATGTGCAGTTAATTTCAGAGTCCATTTAACCTTTATCCATATTCATGTTTCTTTATCAATTGGCTTGTCAGCTATGATCTGAATTATGGTTTGATGTGTCAGAGTCTTCTATTCAAGTGAAGGAAGAAAGAGCTGCAAAAGCTGACGAGTCTGACTTAAAAGGGAGTGGTCCAGCACCCAGGTCTAAAATGGGTTCCCTCAAGTTCTCCAAGCAGAGAAAATCCACAACTGATGTTCTTAGTAATACTGAAGCAGAGAGGAAAAGTCCAAGTAGTATTGTTATGCGAAAAAGAAGGCAGAAATCATCACCAGTTAAAGTAAAAGAATCTGTGTTTTTAATGATGTCAGTGTTGCTCTTATCGGTTTTGTTATCAGATTTCATGACATTGTGGTAGCCATTTTCTTCTTGTAGGTTCCTAAAGATGAAGCTCCATCTAGCTCACAATTTGCAGAATCTCCTAATAGAAAGGTGTGTAATTTGTATTGCCTTGCAAGTTTCAAATATTCTAGCTATAAAAAGGCACATCTAGTACTTATCCGCATACTTGTTTGAAGTTTTTTTCTGAAATGTACTCCATTTATTTGACAACTAAATTATTTGAACGTTTCAAATTATTTAAAATTTATCTTTTTTTAAAGGGATTTTCTTAATTTTGGAGAGATTGGTCTCGGACTTCTATCCTCTCACTTGGTGGAAAAGCACATCTAGCCACTAAGCTATCATGCCTTCGCCGTTATGTTCCTTTTTTCTTCATGGGATTCCTTTTCTAGCTATTATGTTGACATGGGTTGTAATGTTGTAGGGAATAGATGAGGGAAAGAGGCCTGTTGGTAGAGGCAAACGCTCAACAAATATCCCAAACTCACATGGAAAGAAATCAGTCAAACACCATGACCATACTTCCTCGAGCAACGGCATAGTAGAAGGCAATGGAACAGCTCTGTCAACTGCACAAACCTACAAAAAACAAGTCAACTTACCAACTAAAGGTAGACGCAGGAGAAAGACACCAGCTGAGAAGCTTCTAACGGATGAAGATGGGAAAAGTTCTGAGATTCTAGTGAATGGATTTTCTAACACCCAGATTCAATCACTGAATGACAAATCCCTTAATCTTAAGGTCATTAACCTATGATTATAAAATTAGCTAGCAGTTTAGTTTGTTGAATTTCCAGGTTATGGGTAGTAATCCTACACTTTTTGTTTGCAGGAAAAGCTTTCACATTACTTATCTAGTTACCGATCCCGGAGATGGTGTGTTTTTGAGTGGTTCTACAGTGCAATTGACTACCCTTGGTTTTCCAGACAAGAATTTGTTGAGTACTTAGATCATGTAGGGCTGGGTCATGTTCCAAGGTTTACTCGTGTTGAATGGGGTGTCATAAGGAGGTCATCACCACTTGAATGCTGCTATTTTCCTGCTTTTTGATGCTCTTATGTCCTGATTATTCATACTTTATCGATGCAGTTCCCTGGGCAAACCACGACGATTTTCTGAACAATTTCTGAAGGAGGAAAAAGAAAAGCTATACCTGTACAGGGATTCTGTAAGAAAATATTATGTTAAACTTAATGCTGGAGTGAGGGAAGGACTTCCGACGGATCTGGCTCGACCCTTAAATGTGGGACAGAGAGTCATTGCTTTACACCCGAGGACGAGAGAGATTCATGATGGCAGTGTGCTAACTTTTGATCATAGTAAATACAGAGTTCAGTTTGACCACTCTGACCTAGGGGTGGAATTCGTCAAGGTAAAGTTTTTTTCCTGAATACTGCAACTTTGTATGGCATCTTAGGGACATGCATAATTCGATGTTTTGGACATCGTATTATCAGTTGTTTAGCATTTCTGGACCAACCACCTAAATGGAAAAGAAACAGAGAGGGATTTGTCATAGCGTATTCATTCCACATTCTCATGACCACATTAAGTCTCAACTAGCCTTGATTAATAGAATCCCTGTAAGAGTTCTAACAAAATATTGTGCACTTAACGGGCATCCAATTCTCTCCTGTTTGCTTTATGGCTATCTTTAAGGTAACTTTACGAAAGAATATGGGATATAATCACTTGTGTTGGAATGATTTTTTGATATTGGTCACTTTTAGATCACATGTAATCCATTCCTCTTATGTAGGATACTGAATGCATGCCGCTGAATCCTCTACAAAACATACCAGCATCACTTGCACAGCAATATGTCTCCTTGAATCATCACATTCAGAATCACAGTATGCTCAAAATGCATGAGCAGGAAATTGAAAACATGCCAGAAGGATATCTCAAACTTTCATGTGAGACATTGGAGAATTCCCGTGGGCCTCACTTGTCACCATCCAATTATAATATCAGTAATTCATTGAAGCAACAGAAGGTTGGCTTTCCAAACAATCTTGAATCCTCATGTTTTACTGTTTCGATTGATATATTCTGTTGCGAATTTCATCGTAGTTCTACTGTTAATTTAGCATTAATTTGTTGTTAGGAATTTTGAGACGTTCCTTGTGATGACTTGATTTCTTAAAGATGCATCGGTTTATAGATTTGGGAAAAGTTAAAGATGAATGGGTTTCTATCGAAGGGGTCCCATCCATGGAATTTCTCTTTTTCCAGCATCCGTCTACTGAGAAGTTCCTTTGAGACTTAATATATAAGTCGAGTCTGTTATCAACCATATGCCATTTGACTTGAACATTTTATTAGACTATAAGCTGAGAGAGTATCTAGCGTTTTTCTCCTTTTCTGATACAGTTTGATTTGCCTTATTTGAAGATGCCTTTGCCTTGCTTTTGACCATCGACAACTCAACTTCAGTTATTTTTGTAACTTCTAGAGAGTTATTTCGATGATACTTGAGTTAGTCAAATTTTCCAGGTCGATAGCTCAAGTACAAATTCACAAGCCCAAGTTGTAATGGATGAGGCTATTCAATCACAATTTGTAAATTCTCAGCCTTCAAGCTTTGCACAGGGTCAGGCAAAAGAAGCTGATGCCCAAGCTCTTTCTGAACTCACACGCGCGCTTGACAAGAAGGTTTGCCAATTATTCTTCACACATTAGCTTCTATATCTGTGGTTTGTTCATTATGTAATTCACTTTATCACCCCCCCTTTAATCTGATTTTTTGATTGCCCTGTTCTTTCCCCCTCAATATATAATGGTTTTGCTTCAATCTTGTCAACATAATCTTTCTCTGTTGTCTATTTGACAGTATTAGTAGAGACTATTCCTTGACATGATTATAAAAATTATCAATGTCTAGATGATTCACTAGGATATATATAATAATAGATTTTATCACTGTGAACGTGGTTTTTTTTGCAAAAGAATATTTTGGGGTTTAGTACATTACTCCTTGGTTCATTCCATAGTATGGTCTCCCCTACGTGTGACTATCATTGATTTTCTTCAGACTCTTACAGCTTATTAGTTTTTGAATCAACTAATTGATATTCTATGAAGCTGCAGGAGCTAGTTCTGTCTGCCTTGAAGTGCATGAACAGTGAGATTGAGGAAAGTCAAAAAGATGGGAACAAAGCTCTTAAGGATTCTGAACCTTTCAAGAAACAATATGCTGCAGTTCTCTTTCAGCTTAGTGAAATCAATGAGCAGGCATGAGATCGGGAAATATTTATTATAAGTCATCTTCCTTTAGTATGGGGGATGCACATTCCGAGCATTTTTTAAAATTTGTTTTTCAATATGCAGGTTTCATCGGCTCTTCTTCGTTTGAGGCAGCGAAACACTTACCAGGCAAGCTCGTCATATATGCCATTCAGATGCATGAACACTTCAGGAGATCCGGATGGTCATCTGACTTGTTTAGACAATTCTGTTTCTGAATCCCATGACCATGGACCCCATGTGTCTGAGATTGTGGAAAGTTCAAGAACAAAGGCACGGAGTATGGTCAATAGAGCTATGGAGGTACATACAGTTGAGCTGGTCTATGTTTATACCTGGTACAGAGAATATAAGAGCATGTGTATATGGCAAAGTTCATGATTTGATAGCTATTTCTTTTATGGATCTACCTTTCTGTTGCGAGTCAAAACATTTTAACTAGAAAGTGTTAAACCTTAACCATTTTGGCACTTTTATCTTTTGCAGGCTATGACATCTTTAAAGACAGAGAAAAACAATGTTGTAAATATCGAGGAGGCCATCGATTTTGTTAATGATAATCTCTCAGTGGATTGCGCGGAAGCACCAGTTCAGCGACCACAAGTTGCCCATGATCAGTTGCTTGCCTCCGGTCCAAATCCAGCCATTGATTCTCGCTCAAATCCACTTGGTCGGAATGATCCACAAATTCCCTCAGAACTTGTCTCACGCTGTGTGGCTACTCTGCTCATGATTCAGGTGAAAATCTCTATTCCGTTCAAGATTTTATTTCTCACAGTTAGAGCCATCTGCGAGTACAGACAGTGCCTTATTATACTTTCATGCGTGTCTAGGCTAGGCTTTAAAAAATACTAGCTAGCGACCAAATTTTGGGTAGAATTTTTGCATTTACATTAGGGTAAGAATTTATTAGAGGAAAAATTCTATTTTGGTATGCCATATATACGCCTGTTTTCTACTTCAGAGCATTCTTCTTTTTCATAAAATGATCCAAATATATATAATAAACTATATGGAGAACTGATAGACCCTCGGGCTTTGGCCGAGAAGGCCTTGGATGGGTGGGAATGTCCATTATAAGAGGTTTGGTGGGTTATGACATTTTGTTTTTCTTTTAGCGATATTTCTATACATTCAAGTTAAGACATGTTTCCTATTTTCAGTTATGGTATTTTATTTTTTGTTTTATGATGAATGCAACCGTTATATAAGGAGCATTCGTCATTAAGCAATAAGAACATCAGATAATTGATCCACGTGCGAAACAATATTTGATGGAATCCTTCGGGTTCTATATCAAACTGGTATCATAACCGGGGGATAGAACACGGGTTCTATCAAATTCGTCCCAGAATTCCCTCCGGTACAATTTGATAGGACACGTGAATTCTATCGGATGTTCTTTTTGTTTAATAGCAGTGTTCTTTATATAGGGCTTACATTCGTCATAAAACAAGAAAAATACCTTAAATGAAAACATGAATCATGCCTTAGATATATAGAGAAATGAAATATCGCTAGAAGGAAGAAAACAGAATAACCATCCAAAGCCTTCTCGGCCAAAGCCCGGGGGTCGATCAAGAAACCGATGTATTCTATGGCTCAAATAGTGGTAAGACATTAGAGAATCACAGGCCATTGATGTTGTTCTGCTTTCGATCAGTCGAGTCTGCATAACAATCTTGTTTCTCATACATCCACCGAGTCGAGTTTCTTTATATTGTTTTTTGCAAATACTTTGGGGTGATTCTAACGTTGAAACGAAAAAAAAAACAACGATTGCAGAAATGTACGGAGCGACAGTTCCCGCCGAGCGAAGTAGCGGAGGTACTGGACTCGGCCGTGGCAAGTCTACAGCCGAGTTGCTCACAGAACTTTCCGATCTATGCAGAGATACAGAAGTGTATGGGGATAATCAGAAACCAGATACTAGCCCTCGTACCCACGTAAGTACAAAATACCCCAAAAAAACTACTAGGAAATACTACTACCAATCTCTTTATAAAAAAAACCCTTCAATGATTAGGATTTGGAGACCACGGGTTTAGGGTTCTTCTTCCTCAGTTTCGTTGTTATTCGCCCCCTCAACAACCATTTTGATTCCAATGTGTGCATTAAGTGAAGAAATAAGTTGCATTATACGTACACTCTT